ACTTGGCAGCTTACCAGAAGGTCAGCTATTCAAATGCAACAGCTGGTCCATGGGAGAAAGATGTGGCAGTCTGCTTCTGTAAAGACCTTCAGGCTTGGAAACTCTGTGGGGTTCTTCTACTCTGTCCTATAGGGTCGCTATGAGTCAGAATTGACTCGATAAAGATGGGCTTCCTAGATCTATTACATGTGAATCATATGATTTTAGCAAGCCATTAACCTCTCTGCCTTAGTTGTTGTATTTGTGAAAAGAGAAGAGTAAAAATAACTTAGGGTGTTTCCATGAGGATTGAATTAGTATACATTTATGAAAGTGCTATCAACATGCTAGTAATGTTTCCTTTATATTTTATTAGTAGTCAGTGAAAGGCATTGTGTTACCTTCTGCAGTGATGCTCTGAGATCTAAATCAGAGGTTACAAACTACAATTCTGGTGGCTGTCTGTTTTTGCAAATGAAGTATTACTGGAACACAGCCACGCCCATTTGTTTATGCATTGTCTTTTGAGATTTTCCAGCTACAACAGTAGAGCTGAGTAGTTGCAACAGAGATCAAATGTCCCACAAAGCATAGGTATCTATTACCTGGCCCTTTACAGAGAGATTGCCAACCCCTGACCTAATTGATTAGTGTATTCTACTTGCACTTATTAGTTCAATGGCTTACAGTCTTGTTTAATCTTGATCTCTAGGCCCAGGCTTCTTTCTTGACCTCCGAAGTCATAAAGCCAGCAACCTACAGACACTTCTACTTGTATGCCCCATGGGCACTTCAAGTTCAGCTGGTCCCTAACTAAACCTGCCCTCTTTCTGGTCCAGCATGGTGCTCTGCCTTCTTAGCACAGTGACTGACACCACCTAGATCCCCAAGTCAGGCACCCGAGCGTCATCCTAGATTATGCTCACTTCCTCACCTCACATCCCCCTCAAGCTTAGCCTCCTCCTGATTTATCTTTTAAACATCTCTTGGAGCCAAGCCTATCTCTCCATCCCAGTCAACAATGCCCTCAGCCAGGCCCTTCCCATTTTTTGTCTGAACCGCTCCAACATCTTTCCACCTGGAGGACTCCAAAAGGTGTCTCTTCCCAAGGGTTTGAGGAAGTGGGATAGTGTTCCCTCCAAAATTTTAGCCTTGACTTGTCTCTGAGTTCTATGTCCATGAAATGGGCAGATGATTTTCGGTTTTTTTGGTCTTTGTTTTAAGGCTTTGTTGTTTGATTCTATTTAAAAACAGAACAGTAACAATAATCCCAAATATGTGTATTTTACTTTCAAAGCTTACAAAGAACTTTCAAATTCATGATCTCATTTGATCCCAGGAGAGCCTGAGGAGGGAGCTGTTGACAATTATTCATATTTATCCATAGGAGAGGACTGGGATTTAGTGGGTCACATGCTTGCCTAGGTCACCTGCTTAGTAAACATAATTATTCAGACCCAAGTCCCCTGACTCCGCATCTTTCCTTCCTCCCCCACTTCCTTCTTTTCTTTCTTAAACATTCTTCCTTCCAAGCATCTGAAGTTCAGCTTTCTTTTCCCATGAACACTAGAAATCCATCAGGTAATAGTTTATATGTCTTGAGTTCCCACTACAAAGATCCGTACTAAAAAAATGACAGCGACTTATTATTTATAGAAATATCTATTGTTACTAAGGGAGACAGATCAAACAATTCCCCGTTGTTACAGATGCTACTTTGACTTGACAGCTGGGAAAGTCTGATAGGCAGTGTACTTACTTAGTCATTTAACCAAATAAATATTTTCATTTTTCTTTCATCTCCTCAAAAGCTAACATTTCACCCTTAAAATTGCTCCAGCAACACATCAGTGAAGTATAAATTACCTGCCATTCCCACACCAGCCATTATAATATTATTTTGCTTCTTTTTTGACCCTGTTATCCCCAGTCTTTCAAAGACACACGATTCTCCGAGTTGAAAGGGTAGGGGAAAAAAAGTAAAATAATTGAAGATATTTCTCTTTATTGTTAAAACAGAAATGCTGTTTGAGATTGGTCCTGAAGCTTCCATCTGAGTGGATTTTGTCCATTTTCTCTTACTATGGCACAATATGGACTTTACCTTATCAACAGATGTCACCCCTACCGCAGAATCATGCGGGTATTTCTAATAAAAAGCAGCTGGAGATATTGGCTCCAAGGGCACTAAGGAGGAAGGGACTTTGCTTCCCAACTGTACAAAGGCAGAGGAGAAAATAGAGCCATGGCTGTAACTATCCCTGTGTGGTATCCCTCGCCCATATGACCAGAAAGGCACTAAGAAATTATAGTCAGAAAATTTCCAGTTGGGTGGATGGGTGAATGGGGCGGGGGGAGACAGAAAGATCAAATGGGGCTTGTGCTGCTGTTGATAGAAGGGTCTGGGAAGGGTCTTCTCTTATGGGTGTCTCAGGGTATATGTCTGCTAGGCTGGCATCTTGATAGGGAGCTGTGAAATTGCCAGGCTAAGTTTTCAGTGGGAGAAAACTGTTTCACGGAAGATTACAATCCAGTCCTCCTTTGGAGCTGAGAAGTGCTTATTATAATTCACATGTGAATCTAAGACTGATCATTTTTTGGTGGCCTGTGAGGTCCAACCTGGGTTGTTCTGATTATGGAACAGGGCAAGCCAAAGAGCCTTTTTCTTTTTTTTCCCCAAAGCTTTTTCGAGGCATATTGAAAATTAATTATCTGAAGACAAAAAGTGCAAAGCAAAACCTCCCAGACAATGGCCTGGGTCCTTATGGTAGAATTTATTCAATATGAGGGTTAAATGTCTAAAATTCAAGGTGGTGGGGAGTCAACATGTACTGAGCATGTGTGATGATGATGATGGTGGTGATGGCGATAGTAATGGCGATTTTTATGGATGATGGTTGATGATGATGGTAGCTAACATCTATTGGGTGATTTCTATGTTCCAGACACTGTGTTAAGAACTCCACATACATCACTTCATTTAGCCCACACAATTAACCCTACCAGGCAGATACTATTTTTATCCTTATTTTTCAATTGAAGAAAATAAGTTGGGGAATTATCATGAATTCTCATCAGGGTCACATAGCCAGTAAGTGGTAGAACCTGAATTTGAACTCAGGCAATCTTATTTTAGAAGATTTTTAAGCTGAGTACTGAATGTCCTTCTCCGTACTAGAAACTCAACAGATGATATCACAGTTAACATAATGGATAAAAAAGCCCCATTTAGCAGATGAGAAACCAAGACTCCAAAAAATTGTTTCTTGCCCAAGATTTCTTGCTACTGAGTAGCTGAGCCAGAATTTGAACTCAAGTTCCAAATCCTGAGCTGTTCCCATTATACCATGCCACATCCATTTACCACCCAGCCGTGGTTTGGGGCACTGGATTGAGCGTCAAATGTGGAACAGGCTGAAGCTCCGTGAAACAGTTCAGCTTGTATGACTGTCTCAGGCTGAAGAGGCACATAAAGGTGAGGGCTTGACACACTGATCTGCAAATGGTGTAAGTCATCTTTGTTTTCTAGAAGAACTTCGGTTTTAGGATGATGTTTGCTGTTATCCCGATTAATGACTCTTGTCACCTCTAGTTCATGCATCAAATTTTTAAGGTAGAGCATGTGAAATACAAGATACGCAAGAAGTAGAAAACCTCAAGGGGAATCTTCCCAAGGAGTCTGCCCATAATCCCCAACTTTTCTCTTTCCTAGAACATTGACTTTGCCTTTAATTCACCAGCTCCCCAAATAGCTTTACAAGACTGAATTTTTAAACGGGTATCATGTGGTTTTGAATGGCATGATGTATTATTATGTGCCATCATACTGATATAAAATGTGGCAAAATACACAGTTTGTTAAGTTCTTTAATCATAAAATCTATTAACAAAATGCACTTTTAGCGTATTAGCTTTCAATAACTGTCAAAATAACTTATGCACGCACTGAGAATGATTCTGGGGTAGCCTCAGCAACCATTTATGAACAGTGAAAACTATTTACCATTTTAATGGTTCTGACCACGCTGCTCAGGACTATGAAAAGAAGCTCTGTGTGTATAGCTTTGCAATCCTACACGTTTCTGGAAAACTAGGAAAGTATTTGAAAATTGAACACATTTGTTAAGGAGTGACCTTAGAAATCATGTCTGGGTAACAAGGTGTACTTCTGTCTCCTGAGAAGGTTCTCTTCATCAGCTCCTCTTTCTTTTCATCAGATCAGATGTATTGAAATTCAAGTGCCAAAAGCCACTTCTAGTAAACGTAAGTACACCTCTCACGAAGTCACTGCTGATGGAATCTGAAGTGACTCTGTGGCAAGCCACATACTGCAGCACAGGTGCAAACAGCAGAGCCTCAGATGTGAATGCTGTGCGTCCTTGGGCTTTGGATTTCACTTTCACTTTGGAAACGGTGCGAAGCCCCATCATAGGACTAGACAAAAAGGGCTCTATAATCTTACATCTGGATCAATCGTATTTCAAGCACTGCTTGTTTTTGCTTCTTAGTCTGGCACCTCAGTGTGTTTGATGGGTGACCTCTTTTGATCTGCTGAGTGTAGGCAAAAGCAGTGACATTTTGTTTAAAGGAGTAAAGCATCTGGACCACGCTACACTGAGAAATTATTAGAGTGGGCATAATATATCCATCTTGGAATTTTGGCGTTTTCAGAAACTAAATCCATGTTAAGAAGTGATGATGATCAGGGCTCATTCGACCCCCAACACCCACTCGGAATACACAATTAATAAAACCAGATGACCATTCCCCATTCCTCCTCACCCCGCTCCCCACCTCCCAGTATATGTCAAAGGTCATGCATCCATGAGGAAAAACAAGATGAAAAACAGACACCAGGCAAGCAGCGATGGTGCAAACACTGGGAATACACCTCAGGCAAAGAAAAATGGTGCAAACGTCAGGAATGTGGCTTTAGACGTGAAAAACAAGCACAAGAGAAAGCAGAGGGCTTAAGGGGGAAGGAGATAAAAAGGACAGATACCTACCCAGACCTGCGCTATCTAGCTACCGGCCTGTGGACTTATATTATCACCACTGGGCTCACCACTGGGCTCCCCACTGGGCTCACCAAATGGATCACTGTTGGATGAGGCCTGTGATCCATCAGGCTAGAACACAAGAAGATAACACTTTTTTTCCCTTTCTTTTCAACAATTGAAAACATACGACAGTTCGGCATATTTTCATGCAGCAGACAGAATCAGTTATCTCAAAAGGGGGAGCAACTCCAGTTAGATGATGCCACACCCACAAAAGCAAGAACAGCTAGTAATAACTTAATATAAGGACTTTTTTTCCAGCTGACTCCTTTGAACATAAAATAAAGCCCCTTTAGCAACTCCTCTGGCATTTAAGAGTCTGAGTCAGCATGCTTTTCTAGGTAGGTTTCCTCATGCATTGTCCATTTCAGATCTCGGAGTTTTAACTTTAAGGAAAAACGAAAACTGAAACAACAAACCAGTCACTTACAGCTTCTTGCTCTTCGCTTTTGCTGGGACTTTCAAATCCTTCTTCGAAGATGTCATCTGCAGTGGGGTCGCTGGCGTGGGACGCAGATGATTTGGTTGGAGCTACACAGAGACCATGTAAAAGAAAGGAGAACATTTTAAGTGACTGGCTACAACCATTTATATTCCATAGAAACCTCCGGGATCTGGTTATATTATGAGTCAGATCACAGGACCTCCTTTCCTATCACAAGATAAATCAGCTGAACATTTGAATTGCTCCCGTGTACTATTTATCTTTGTCTCTTGATCATATGGATGGTGCTTGTCCTCTCTGATGGGTAAGGTAGTGATTCTCAGGGGATGGTCCCTAGACCAGCAACATCAGCATCATCTGGCCACTTTTTAGAAATGTACATTTGCAGACTCCACCCTAGAGACCTGAGTTAGAAACTGTTTTAGCTGGGCAGTGATATCCATTTATTGAGTGCCTTCTAGGTGTTAGACACTGTTAGAAATGCCACATACATCATCTCTAATCCTCAAAAACATTATCTGAGGTAGGCTCATCCCCATTTTACAGAAGGAAAGTGAAGGTTGCTAAGTTGCTCACATAGCTAGCAACTGGTAGAACCAGGCTTTGAATCCTGGCACATAGTAGATGTTTAACAAACACTTTGTTGAATGCAGAATAGGTGTCCTACAAAGATCAGACTGGACTATGGGACATAAAATGATACTTGTGAAGAGTGTGCTTCTTAGCTCAAGTAGATACATGAAACTAAATGGGTAGCTCCTGTCTGGAGGCGAGATGAGAAGGCAGAGAGGGTCAGGAACTGGTTGAATGGATACAGGAAATCAGGGGTGGAAAGGAGGAGTGTGCTGTCACGTAACAATGTATGTATAAATTTTTGTATGAGAGACTAACTTGAATTATAAACTTTCACTTAAAGTACAACAATAAGAAAAAAAAAGGAATAAAAGCATATATCCACATAAAGAAAAAAAGAAAAAAAGAGTAGGTGTCCTAGGTCTTTTCCCAAAGCACTGTGGCCTCTGGGGCATGTGGGTAATCTGTGAAGATGGATATAGCTGATGGCAGCTTCACAGCTGGCCCTTCATTCCTCACAGTATATGGTGTGCATCTGCTGTATTGACCCTCCCACACTCCCCTCATCTCATCTGTTCCAGAGATTTACAACAAATATGCCCCTGGAAACTTGTCTTCTCTCAATAATTTCTAACTCGGCATTGGAAACACCAGTCATTGGCTGAGCCCCAAGCGAGGGCACGGCAAGGTGTGATTTAGTAGCTGAATTTCAAAATGTCATTGAGAGGACCTCCCTGCCCTGACTTTTCAGAATTTAGAAAATCTGACTGCTTATCAGACAGTGAATGATTATAGAACTTGATGAGTACCTTTTATCCCAGTGAACTTGCACTTGAAATAATGACACTAGTGTGTGCCAATGAGTAAGACATCGTGCTAGGTACCTCACATTCATTACGTTCTTTCATATAAACAACACTGCAACACAACATTGCATGTGTGAGTGTGTATATATATATATAGTTTCAAATGAAAATACTGCAGCTCAGAGAGGTGAAGTGATGTGCTCAGGGTTAACACAGCTATGAAAACAGCAGCACTGAGGTTTAACCCAGATCTATCTGACTCTTTCCAGTACAACTGTGCTTTTCTATTTCTGTTTGAGACTCACAGGTCTGTCTGACACTTTCCAGTACAACTGTGCTTTTCTATTTCTGTTTGAGACTCACTTTTGGTCCAACAAAACTTCCACTTAAAACACTCTGTAAGGGATAATAACAGATAAAACCAAAAAATCAAATCAGCTGCTGTTGAGTTGATTAGGACTCATGGCAATCCCATGTGTGCAGAATAGAATTGCTCCCTAGGGTTTTCAATGCCGCGACCTTTTGGAAGCAGATTGCCAGGCCTTTCTTCTGAGGCACCTCTGGGTGGGTTCAAACCACCCACCTCTTGGTTAGTGGTTGAGTGCTTAACTGTTTGCACCACTCAGGGACTCCACTAACAATGGATAAGAGGACAATAAAGACTGGTTTCACACATTTTTCTTTAAAATAAAATACATTCAGTTTATTTATAAATTTGAAAGGAAGCCTGTTTTTGTTTCATGAGATGATTATGGAACAAATTAGTTACAGTGGATTTAAATGAGATAAGCGATCTGAAAACACCCTGACATTTGGTAGATGTTTAATAAGTGCTAGCTTAACTGGATTCTGTTTGAAGTGCCTTATTGCTTACTACGGGCTGAGAACCCAGGCTGACCTGCCAATTCTGATAGGTACACCGCACACTTATTTGATGAACTCAGTGGGAAGTACAATGAGTGAGTTTATTTATGAAAGTGTCTTAACCTTCAGTAGGTTTTAAAGAGTACCTCTATACCCTGGTGGCACAGTGGTTAAAGGCTACGGTTGCTAACCAAAAGGTCGGCAGTTCAAATCCACCGGCTGCTCCTTGGAAACCCTATGGGGCAATTCTACTCTGTCCTATAGGGTCACTATGAGTCGAAATTGACTTGACAGCAATGGGTCTGGTTTTTTCTTTTTTTTAATACTTTAAAACAGTGGATCTCAATCTGGGGAGATTTCACCCCCAGGGGTCATTTGGTAATATCTGAAGACATTTTTGGTTGTTGCAACTGTGTGTGTGTGTGTGTGTGTGTGTGTGTGTGCAGGGTGTTAACTGGCATTTAATGGGTAGAGAGGTAAGGGTTGCCAGTAAACATTCTACAATGCACAGGATATCCCCCCACAAGAAAAAAAAATTATCTGGCTTAAAATGTCAACAGTGTTGAAGTTATGAAACACTGATTTAAAGCCCATCAGTAACCGAATGGCCTTTGCTTAGTTCCTTTCACTCTCTATACCCTTTCCCAAGCCTCTACGCGCTAGGCACCATGCTAGCATTTTGAGAGGTGTAGGAATGATGAAGACATGTTCCCTGTCCTCAAAGAGCTTAAACTTCCCCCTTTTATTTGTAGTTGGCACACAAGCTCATTGAACGATAGGCATTAGTTTTAAAAAGATGCTTGCTTATTTGTGCATGGCTGTCATTTCTGTAGTATTTCATTTTGTATTCATTATTTTCCACTGAAACTCTGTGAGTTAAGAGTTAATAGAGATGCCCGGCTATGTAGATCATATGGCCTGAGTGAAAGAAGGTTGTTTATATACATAGAGGGCATTCATTTTCGGAAGAGCATTCTGAACCTGGCTGAAATGACACAATCTAATTGTGTTAACACTAGATTTTTTTTTGACAATTCATGGTATTGGCCATGCAGTGATCCGTAACCTCTGTGACAGTAATGAAAACGCCAAACTCACTGTACCAGGGGCCTTTTCTTTCCCCTTATCAATTGTCAAGGCACAGGCTGAGTCACCAGAAGACCTTCCCCCAACTGTGTCGGCCAAACATACACACACTCAAAGGTGTATAGGTTCTAATTTCGCTGTCACATTCCTGTTTTCCAGACATTATGCAGTAGAAACATGATTTAAGGTAGAATCACTGAATACCGGAACTAGAAGGAGGCACATTGCTCATCCAAGTCAATTTGCTTATTTTACTGAAGACACAACTGAGCCTCCGAGAAGCCACAGGCTTGCTCAAAGACACACTGTGTGGAGGAGGAGAAGCCAAGACTGGAAGCCTGGTGGAAGACTCTGCACAAAACCACTTAATACGTGATGACAACGACTTTAATAACATTTAAAACTTTGTGGGGTTTATGCTGTTTTAGTACATGTATCATTAAATTCTTTTAATAACCCTTAGACTTAGACATAAAACCA